TTTTTTTTTTTTTTTTTTTTTAATTATCTTTCCAAAAACAATCTGTAAATTAGTCGCAGAACAAGTACTTTTAGAGTTTAGAATAGAAACAAACTAGGTGCATTGTTTTTTCGGCAAAGGGCCAAATAAATTCTTGTACTTTCGAAAATGGTCTAAAAATACCCCTTGTTATATTATTGGGTTATATATACCCTTCCCGTCATACTTTGAACAAATATACCCTTATTTTGGATGGAGTGCCACGTGTCAGCACTAGATGAAAACGAATTATTTCTTTTTTTTACCCGTTCCTTTTTAAAAAATCCACCACCAGACCCGTTTTAAAATTCAATTTTTTTAAAGCATATATTTTATAAAAACTGATTTTTTTTTTTTTTGTAAAAACTGAAATTTTTTTTTATAAAATATATATTTTTAAGTCTTTTCAATTTTTTTAAAGTATCCTTTTTTGTAAATACTGAAAAAAAATATTTTTTAAAAAATGCTTTAAAAACTGAAAAATATATATTCTGTAAAAATTGGAAAAAAAAATTGCAAAATATATATTTTTCAGTTTTTTAAAGTATTTTTTTCTAAAAACTGGAAAAAAAAATTTGCAAAATATTTTTATTTTTTTAAAACTAATGCATATGTAGTCCACTGTTTCAGGACAGTCTTTTTTTTTTCTAATTTTTTTTAAAAATATTTTTTTTCTTCAGTTTTTACAAAAAAAATACTTCAAAAAAACTGAAAAGACTTAAAAATAAATATATTTTGTAAATTCCTTTTTTTTTCAAGTTTTTACAAAATATATATTTTTCAGTTTTTAAAACATTTTAAAAAAATAAAAATGTTTTTTCAATTTTTATAAAAAAAAATACTTTAAAAAAACTGAAAAGAATTAAAAATATATATTTTGTAAATTCTTTTTTTTATTTTCAGTTTTTACAAAAAACAAATCAGTTTTTATAAAATATATGCTTTAAAAAAACTGAATTTTAAAACGGTTTGGGTGATGAGTTTTTTAAAACGGATCGGATAAAAAAAAAATAGGTCGTTTTCATCTTGTGCTGACACGTGATACTCTATCCAAAATAAAGTTATATTTATTCCAAAGTATGACAGAAAGAGTATATATAGCCCAATAGTATAATAAGGATATTTTTAGACTATTTTCGAAAACACAATATATATTTGTCCTTTGCCGTTGTTTTTTTAATGTTTTCACAGAAACAACACGAGAACTCTCTCTAACTTTACTCTTCTCTGAACAACAAAGCAGCAACTGTTACTCTCCTCATCAGCCACTGACCCAAATTTAGAGCCATCTTCTTCTCATCTTCTGTACACTGCTATAACTGCAAATCTCAGACCTATACCTCTCTTTAGAAGTCGTAATATAATTAATTTTGGACTTTAGAGATGGGAGGATCTGGTGGTGTAGGAAGCTTCCTCAAGGTTATACTCAACAACTTTGACATTCTTGCCGGGTATCTCTCTCTCCTCAATCTAGTTCAAACACTCACCTTTTTCTTTGTATTTATGTATTACAAATGGGTTCTTTCTAGTTTATTCTTAGATAATAGAGATCAATTTAGGAACAATTTATTCTTGTGAAGCTAATTTCTATTCTTGTACACTTGAAATTGCAGGCCGGTGGTTAGTCTGGTTTATCCTCTGTAAGTGTGTTTTCGCTTAGTGTTTTTATTTTACTTGTTTCCTTACTGCCTCATATGTTATGTTTTGGTACTGAGCTCTGGGTTATATGGCAGGTATGCCTCAATAAGAGCTATAGAGAGCAAATCCCCAGTCGATGATCAGCAATGGCTTACATATTGGATTTTGTACTCTATGATTACACTTTTTGAGCTGACCTTTGCCAAGCTTATTGAATGGTAATATTCCTCGGTCGAGATTTTTATATGCTTTTGAGCTATTATTTGTCGAATTCGATGACAAGTAGATATAATTGTCTCTTTATCACTTGTAGATGGAAGATGGTCCTTCAATTAATAAATATCCTTGTCCTTATTTCAGGATGAAATGGAAGAAAAGTATAATACTTATAACAGACGATGTTTGTGAATAACCCTTTGAGCATTGTGTTCGTTGCCAAATCTTATTCTTCCATCCTAGTTTCTAAATAGTTATTATAGAAGAATGAAGAGACTTTAAATTCCTATATTTTTAATAGCATCACAACGATTTTAAGTTTTACTAACTTCGTATATAGGGGCTTAACTTTGGTGTTGTAGATCGTTGAACAAGTGATGAGTGATGACGTGCTACCTAAGAAACAGAAAGATTATCTGCTGATTGCAGTTTGCTATCAGATGGAATAAGAATTTTTAAGCCAAACAGTCCTTTAGTAAACCATACTCGTAGAAATAATGAGAATCACGAAGTAATTGATGCTCGAACTTTGTCAGTCTGGGTGAAAAATGATTCTGATTTTTGAGTAAATTTCCTGTGAAGTCATCTACAATCTGATCATGGACTCTTGGAGCAACTGTCATGCTTGACAATAGTTATGAATTATTACTGAATGAGTTAGCACTCATATAGTGGAATCTTCACCAGTATATTTAAAACAAGAGCAGAACAAGTCGATTGTTCAGGACGTTCAGTGACCTTAGTAGCTCTGTTTGACAATTCATTGTGAAGATGGTTGCAAGAAACTGGATTTCCATGATAAATGCAAAAAATGAGCTGTGGTGATGTAGTTGACCTTAGCTTGGTTGAAAATGTTTGAGCACAAGGTACTGTCACATTGAGGTATAAGGTTAGGAAACCCCATTTTCTGATGTAATTGAAGGCAAAGAGGGAAGATTTTGTGAGACTCTGCTTGGCAAACAATTCGATTGTTCAGGACGTTCTGTCCCCCCCCCCCCCCCACAATTCTTTTCTTTGGTTCATGTTTCTTAGTTATATACTTATATTTGTCATGCTGGAAGGAAAAGAGAAAGCAATGTGTTTCCGGTATTAGGAAATACTTAAGTAGTAGTTTTGGTTGTTTCCAACTGGACGGAGAAATAAAAGTTTCGGACATAGTACATGAATCTCTTCTATATCAGTATATTTCTAGTGAGTTTGGATGATCACTACTACTCTTTTCCAAATGCCAGGTCTGATTTTTTTTTGCACTAACAAGTTCTTTATTCTTTTATGTCAGGCTTCCTTTCTGGTCATATGCAAAACTGATCACAACCTGCTGGTTGGTGATACCTTACTTCAATGGTGCAGCATATGTGTATGAGCATTATATTAGGCCTTATATTGTCCAACGAAAAGCAGTTAACATCTGGTATGTTCCACGAAAGAAGGATGTCTTTAGTAAGCCTGATGACATCCTAACTGCTGCAGAGAAATATATACAAGAACACGGAACCCAAGCATTTGAGGAGATGATCCACAAGGTACGGTAATCAGTTCGCCGTGTTAGTTTATAGTTTTGAGGGAATGCCATAGAAACATGTAGAAACCAAGTGACTTGAGGTAGGCTGAGATCGCATAATTCACGTGATTAAGGATTGGCTCATTTCATTACCTGCAGGCTGAAGGAGAACGAAGGCCCCAAACCAGCAATTACGTGTTTTATGATGACGACTACAGATACTGAACCTTGTATACTACAGTTTCTTTAGTTTGGTTTTTGCTGCTCCAGTACTTTAGGAAAGGACGAGATCTATCTGCCATTGTAAAGAGGTGCCCTGAAACTGATGGTTTGGTCTTTGTACGTTTGGACTATTAGCTTCTCTCAGAGAGTTTTTGCAATCCTGTATTTTTAACTTTTAAGTTATAAACTTATACTGTTTATGGCTCTTTCACCAAGGTGTTTTCCAAGATACTTTTTATCAGTCACTGTTAATTCCAAACATTTTGTTAAGGATAATGAGAGCCGTTATTCTATTTCTCTTCCAGCAGGATAAGGAATTTTGATCTCTATCAAAACATTGGTTTCTCTTGTTTTGATCACTTGATAGGTCTGAGAAGGTCTCACAGTGATTGTTTGCCTGACTTAAGCTCGAATTTTAAAATGCCGAACAGGAGTGCTGCATTGTACTCCCACTTACACGGGGAAATGGAAGTGCTGCCTCCCAGTGTACAAGCACTTCAACCTTTTTTAATGTTCTTTATAACTTTTCTTTGTTATGTGATGATTCTTTAGGTAGGGTACATAGAAAGGGATGTAGTTCTTGAACCAGAGAAGGGCTAATTGGCGCTTAATCTAACTACAAGGATAACCATTTAGGAGGGAAACGCTCATGTTTTAAGGGCAGTGGTTCGCAGTGGAGCATAAGTCTATATAGGTGTTACCTGTTAGGACCTTTAATCGGCAAGCCAAGCTGCTGGAGTATTAGTCTGATGCTTGTTTTGCAAGAAGTTAAGCAAGTGTCAGCTTCACCAATTCTATGCTTGTTTCTGTAGATTCTCAAGATGTGCTTTCGTGTAGAGCTTTTGTCGGGGAAAATTTGAAATAAAAATTACTGTCAGTATAATCACAAATTTGAACTTTGGAACTTCTTATGGAAAAATATAGGCAGTAGTACTATATCAGAGGAACTTGCTCACCTGACACCAGATGAAGAGCTTTAATAATCTTTTTAATACTATCTTTTGAAACTATATCTGTGAAATGTTTGATGTAAAAGCTAACAAATGTGAAATCATACCACATGCCTTTTGATAATCTTTCCCTCAAGTGTCGAGACTTTTGATGGCCTCGCAAAACAGAGGGGAAAAGCAACTGAGAGAAATAAGGGGCATTCCGAGAATTGAACTCGGGACCTCTCGCACCCTAAGCGAGAATCATACCACTAGACCAAATGCCTTGCTTGTTGTAGCTTTGTGGATAAAGGATAATTTCTCTGGAATATTTGTTTATTTCTCTGGATTTCTAGGAAATAGTGCTTCATTCACAAATTGTTTGGTTTAATAGTTGGAATAAACTGAACTTGTTATAAAATAAAAATTGTAAAGTAAAGACAAGTATAGAGAGAAACTGATATATTATTCAAACTTCAAACTTATGTACATAATGAACTGAAAACTCCTCTATTTATAGAAGAAAGGAAGCTGCTACTGCAAGCTGCCGTGTAAGCTGCTTGTAAGTTGTTTGTAAGCTGCTACTGTACCATATATAGATAATCTTTTACCGGGGGTAATGTTTATTCATAACGGAGTACCAAAATGATAAGCTTCTTCAAGAGGCTTATTTCCAATAGAGTACTAAATAGATAAATATATTTACGGCGGAGTCTCATATGGATAAACTTCTTCAGGATTCTTTTTTCTTTGTTTAATAATATTTTTTAACCCAAATAGCTGTCCACCTAGCCGACTGATGTATGTATACTGACTAGAAAAAGTAAACGGTTAATCTGGTCGGCTTTTTGTGTAATTGTGTCACAAAATACTTGACATTATTATAGTTTACTTCTACATTTTAATTATTCTAATTCATTAAAACATTCAAGATTTAAATATTAATGTAAACTTTCTTCTATCAAACTAACTTTTCAATCATTACTTTTGATATTTTCTTCCATTATCATTACTACAATATACTAGTCGAATAATATAAAACGAGACGAATGAAGTAATTATTATTCAACAAATTTTCTTTCCAAAATCACCTAATCCTAACCTTGGAATATGCTATAAACTGTGAATTCTTACACAAAAGGAGCCGAAAACCTGGCCTACATATTCTAAAGAGAGGAGAACGATATATCACTTACACAAATTAAAGAATTATCCAAGTACAAAAATAATCAATAAATATGTTTTTTTGCTAATAAGGATACAATTATATTAAAAGCTAAACAGTAACACTATTGCAAAGGGGGACCAATCGTGGTACAGTAACATCCGAAAGGTCCTTATTGAAAGCATCGAAAGTAAAGGGTGGGGGAAGGGTGGGGGAGACATAAAATGTATGGGACTCCATTATAATTGGCCTTTAGAAGGAGTTAGGAGCATGCCATATTTTTCCAGGGCATCTGCTACACCATTTGCCTCCCGGTAGATACGGCCAAATGTTGCTGTCTGCAGCTAGTGGAGTAAAGTCGTGTGAATCAGTTTCAATAAATACTAAACTATGATAATTGAACTACAAATGACATATTATGATAAATGGATTAACAACTTGTTTGGATGGTTGTTACCTATTGTATTGTATCATATTGTTATTTTAAATACGATATTTATTTTGATTGTTACTTAAATTTTATTGTATCGTATCGTTAAATTTGTCGTTATGTAATGACGAAATGTGCCACTTTATGTAACGATCTGTGATGATCCGGCCGGTCGTCTTGAGAGTTATAGCCCCAATTCCCTATTAACTATTTTTTCCATATCCTTTTCTGCTATTGTGACTTGCCGGGAGGTTTCGTTTTGGTTTTTGGAGTGTTTTGGGACACTTAGTCCCTAAAATGGAGATTTAATCCTTAGGATTTGGACTGTTGTTAGAATTGTATGAAGACGACTCCAGAATAGAGTTTCGTTGATTTCGTTAGCTCCGTTAGGTAATTTTGGACTTAGGGACGTGTCCGGATAGTATTTTGGAGGTCTATAGCTCATTTAGGCTTGAAATGGCAAAAGTCGAAGTTTTGGATATTTGGACCGGTAGTGGAATTTTGATATCGGGGTCGGATTCCGATTCTGGAAGTTGTAATAGGTCCGTAGGGTTGAATATGACATGTTTGCAAAATTTTGGGTCAATCGGACGTGGTTGGTAGGTTTTGACATCGGTTGTCGAATTTGAAAGTTTCAAGTTCTTTAAATTTGAATCGGAGGATTCGTGATTTTAGCGTTGTTTGAGGTTGTTTGAGGATTCGATTAAGTTCGTGTGATGTTTTGGGACTTGTTGGTAGGTTTGGTTGAGGTCCCAAGGGCCTCGGGTGAATTTCGGGTGGTTAACATATCATTTTTGGCCTTTGGGAGATAGCAGATTATGGTGTTCTTCAGTTGCTGGTTTCCTTCTTCGCGTTCGCGGGGGGTGTTCCGCGATCGCGAAGAGGATCTGGGGCAGGTAGGAATTATATGCTTCACGTTCGCGATGTCAGTCCCGTGTTCGCGAAGCTCTAAGATCATAAGCCTACGTGTTCGCGAAGAATATCCTGCGTTCGCGTAGAAGGGATTGGTTGCTGGGTCCCCAGGCCCTTATGCCTACGCGTTCGCGATGTTGGTCCCGCATTTGCGTAGGGTTGAGTTGTGAGGCCTTCGCGTTCGAGATGTAGAATTTCTGGGCAAGAATAATTTGCTCTTCGCAAACGCAAGGGATATTTCACGTTCGCAAAGAAGGGAGCACCTAGGCTGATTTAAAGGTTCAAATCGAGGGTTTATGTCATTTTTCACCATTTGGACTTGAAAGCTCGGAATTTGGCAATTTTTGGAGGGATTTTCACGTGGGTGTTTGGGGTAAGTGATTCTTACCTACTTTTGGTTAATTTCCATGATTATGTCTTTAATTTCATTATTAAATTAATAATTTGTGTTGCAAAATTGGGGGAAAACTTGAGAAAAGTTCTTAGGCCGAATTTTGATCGAGATTTTGGTATCGGATTTGAGTAATTTTGGTACGAGTGAACTCATGAGTGAATGGGTGTTCATATTTTATGATTTTTACTCGATTCCTAGACCTGGGCCCGGGGAGACCTTTTGGGGTGATTTTCTAATTTCTTGCCTTAGCTTTGATTTCATTAATTAGAGTAATTCTTATAGTTGTATTTATGGTATATAATTGATTTTGGCTAGATTTGGGCCATTCGAAGCCGGATATTCTTGGAAAGAGCATTGTTACGGATTGATTGAGCTTGGTTTGAGGTAAGTGGCTTGCCTAACCTTGTGTGGGGGAAATCCCCTTAGGATTTAGTGTTGTTATGATATGTGAGCGCTGTGTACGCGAGGTGACGAGTGCATACACAGGCTATTTGTGAAAAATCCTGATTTTTACCAAGTAATAGCCTGTTTTTCATCTTATCTGGGTATACTAGCATGTGTAGTTATCTTGTTAGCCTAAAATAGGATGTCTACGTGTCATAATTGCATATTTGAACTCTTTGCAGCATGTTTAGAAGAATCATGTTTCTTTCTTGACTTGTACTTAGTCTAAATTATATGTTTCGTGTTGTAGTTGTTATATTCATTCGTTTGAGCTGCGTATTTACTTTGGGCCTAGGGACGGTATCCCGGGAGATCCCCCTGCATATTTACTTTTGAGACTACGAGGCGGCTCCTCGGGAGTTCTCCCTGCACATTTACTTTTGGGACTTTGGGACGGTATCCCGGAAGATTCCCCTGCATATTTACTTTTGAGACTTTGAGGTGGTACCTCGGGAGATCTCCTTGCACCTTTATTTTGGGACTACAAGATGGTATCTCGGGAGATCTCCTATTGTTTATCCTTGTGTTTTGTGTGCTACTTTGTTATGTTCTCTTTGTTTAAATTCTAGTCTCTTATTATATTGTTATACTCTCCTGCTTATTTATTATATACCAGTAGGGCCTTGACCTGACCTCATCACTACTCAACCGGGTTAGGCTCGACACTTACTGGATACCGTTGCGGTGTACTCACGCCCTTTCCTTCACATATTTTTCGTGTGCAGATCCAGGTTCCTTTTACCAGCCTTGTCCTTAATTGCAGTCACTGCTGTTTTTGGAGAACTTCAAGGTACATCTTCCCGTGCCCGCAGATCCTCAGAGTCCCCCCCCCTCCCCCCTCTATCCCCCTATGTTGATTCTTCTCTTATTTCTATAGACACTGATGTATAAAACAGTTAGAACTTCGTAGAAGCTTGTGACTTACGGTGTTCCGGGTCTTGGGAGTGTTTTGTATATTTCGAGAATTGATTATTGTATATGCCGAGCGGCATCTNCAGAGCACCCGCGCGAGCTGCGACAGAGGAGC